GAATTACGTTGTTGTTGTGATGATGTTTACGAGGAGAAAGCGATCATGGCAGAAGTACACAGAGCAGAAGGATTATTGACGACTGATCCGTTGCTGCTCGGGGGTGGCGGCGAAAGTTGCTGCTTGTAGGTCTCGCAGTCGGGAAAAGCTGCTCGTAGCCTTAGGTAGAATAAGGTACAACTGGCCATTAATATATTAGACTCCTTCAAGCATGCTTTAGGATACCTGATATTTTCTGCAACACGCTGCAAGGTTTCTTACGCAGTTCTTGGGTTTGACACCGTGGGTGATGCGCGAACCACTGGACGGGCTATTGTTAGGATATCCGAAAACTATTCGTGATGATCGGCGTGGACCTCCAGCAAAACCTGCATGACTGAGAAAACGTCATATTCTGTACTTCTCTATAGCGAGTGGGAAGTGGCTATTGACAAATAATGTGGCGTGGCAAACAGCTTGAGCATAAAGCTCCTTCAATAGTTCCAATATTTACACCCGCAATCAGAACTCAGCAAGCAGCTCGCCAGAATATGATTCGCAGCCGTCTTTATTAAGAGCTTCATAGACTTTGAATCCGTCACAAGAGATGAAGAGGACCAATGCTGCACATCCCCCTTCGCGGAAGACAAACTATGCGGAACAAGACGCCCGTTGCTGTGAACAATATGAATGTTCTTGGACGAGAGCCCTCCCCGCTTCCAGCTATGAATAGAGAACACCTTCGAATACGCTAGCAACAATAGCTGTGCAATACCGTTCAAGGTTGTTATTGTCGGCGGCCTCAGTGCCAAGTGCCGACACGTCACCATGAGGGTTGCCGGCCTGCACGCATAGGGCTTGTTGACATTATGCGGTCGTTGGCCTGAGGCCGTCTTCCACACACGGTCTACGCGTAAGGTGGGCCACGGCCATAAGCAAAGTTTCGTTGCTGTCAGGCTCTCCCCGTTCCTTCGCTTTACAACCATACCCCTAAGAACTCTTCCCCCATCCACAACCAGCCCTAATCATCAAACTCTTTCTGGCTTTGCCTTGTTGCATCAACAAGATCATTAATATTGCTTGCTGCATATACGCAAGCATTAATTACTTAATCATTGAGCTTTTCATCGTTGCCTCTTGCAGAAGACCCCCAGAGCCTGTGTAGCTTGCCTCAGCAATGTCTCACGACGGCCAATATTCCGATCCTCCTGCTATGCATGGGCTCAACGTCTACGAAGAAGACCATATCTTCCAAGAAACGGAGTCTCTTGCTGGTGCTGATGATGTGCGGGCTGTCTAGAACACAGACCCAACACCATCACAGGGCAGCCCAGTCGGAGAGACTCAATCTGGGGTTCTCAAAGCTGAGATACAGACCGAGATTCTTCGAACGTTCGAATCGGAGGCTAAAACAGTCTTGAAGAAGAACGATGAAGAATCACAACGGATGAGTCTCATGCTTGGTAAGTTGCTTCTTCAAAACCCATCGTGACTGCTACTGACCCGACCTTCAAAGAGTCCATCAAACTCTTCCACAAGAGAAAGAATTACTACCCGACCTCCGAAGAGATTCTGGTAGACCTTGAAGAAAAACTCAAGAATCGCTCTGATGCTTGGAAGCTGGCGGTGTTGTTTGCCAAACACTGCTATGTATTCGGGCTTGGACATTCGGAGACTGGCCTCATGCTGAATCGACTTCTTGCCATACATGTCACCGGTCCCAACTCTTTCCACGAAGAGATGATTGACCCCCTCTTGACCGGTGATAACTTACAGGGCAGCCATGGGGATGTCTACGACGTGACCTCGGCTCCGGACGTGGCTCGGGTGCAGGTGCTTGCTCCACCTAACCAAACCCCAACAGAGTTCATCGAGACTCGTGCTCAAGTTCCAATGACCGGGCAATGCCAAGGTTATGTTGGAAGTCTTGAACACTTCGAGGGGCTCAAGGACGTATATTACGCGTTCTCTAATGGGGCATCAGGCCTTGCCCACGAGGACCTTGAGATCAGGCAGGATGCTCCCGCCCAACGGAGGTGTGTTCAGCAATTGTTCGAAGCCATCATGGACATGAGCAGCTCCATCGAAGCCGCTGATGATGTCAACACCGACCCTGGTCAAGATGGAGAACCCGCAGCTGCCTCTGGCAATGCCGTCGCTGCTGCACTAAGGCCTCGAAACAAACGTCGCATCGGCGATATCCTCGGTTCTCACGGCCTCACCAATACGGAGAAGATCGAGGGATTGATCGGTCGCATGCTGTCCGACCTAGACATCGAGGTTCTCTGCTGGGAGGTTCTGGTATGTCACTACTCAACTTGCTCAAAATCAACCGTGGTGCTAGCTCAAACTAACTTTCATTCACAGGAGGCTGCAATCCGTGCCCAAGAGGGCCTGCACAAAGTGGCCCGGTGGCAGACTGAACTCATGAAGGACAGGTTCGCCTCCTTCGAGGCAAGGTGGAACTCCATCTGCGAGGCTCTGAGGGTAAGGTCGGCTAATTGTCAGTTCCGCTACGTCATGCTAACTTGTAATCACGCAGGCTCATAAGCTCATTCTGCAGTCTCTGGGGCAGATCTCGTGGGTCGAGAGAGTCGCTGCCGCACCTCACAAAGAGCAGGTGGTAAGTCTTCCTCCACTTCCCAGCATGTCTCATTCATATCAGCTGACGAAATTAGCGCAAAACCGCCAATAAGAAGTGCAACATGGTCAAGACGCTTCAAAACAAGGCCGGCGCCGACGCCATCAAGACCAACACACGAAATGGTCAATGGAGTATCGACGAGCGTCTTGGGATCACAGATGCCACTGGAGCAACATTGTTCCAGAGCACCGTTCGTGGCAGCCGCGGTCTTGCGAACATCCGACCTTCCCAAACTCAGGGACCGGAACCAAAGCGCCGCAGGGTCGAGTAGTTGACGCGAGTTGACTACGTCGTAATATACGCACTTCGCTTGGGGTTTGTTTATCGTACACAAGCTCGGTGGATAATATGGTTTTTGGAGTTTGGAGTTTGGATCTCGCGTCATGGCACAAAACCGTGGCTTTTGGGGAATATTCTTATACATATCACGCAAGGGCTTCAGGTGCGTAAGCTGTGTCTTTGGTAGAACGAGCCTGCCTGGGCGATAGAGCAGAGCAGACAGAGCCAAAAAGACAACAGCAGATGCCGTAGAAGTTCTCAAGGTAAGCACAGAAGAAGAGATTTTATTGCGTTATGAAATATCCAGCTATTTGTGATGTTTAGATCGTGATTGCAACAGTGCGTGCCCTGCTGCCAAGCATAATCAAAATCTCGTGGGAAACACAAACTGTTGGGTCCTGTTGTCTCCATGGTAGCTTATCATGAATAGGTGGATATACGACTTGACTATCATCGAAAAGTAGGCTATCGTTCTCGTGGCGTCATCGCTGGCATGTGCTCACCGGAGCCGACAATCATGACGGATGCGGGAATCTCGAGACTTGAAGAGAGACTGAGGCTTTGTCAGATACGATCCAAAGTTCCTCCTCCGGGTAGCGGCAGGGTGAATTGCTTGGATCCTGCGAATAGCCGTTCAGGCTCGCGAGGTTAGTCATTGGCCTTGGCTGAAAAGTACTTTGGTGTTGAATGGTCCAAGTTCAAAGTGACCTGCCTCATCAGGAAGATCTAGCCCTTTTCGATTCTCATGCAAAAGGCAGGCGACCCAAAGTGGCATCCATGTCTTTGTAGCATTTCCCGGAGTGCCGGCTCCTGTTGGAACATGGTGCCGCCCTAGGGTTGCATTGAGAGGAAAAGCTGTTGTCTAAAATGAGATGGAGATTGGGTGTTCTGATCCTGATCATAGTCCAGTAGGGATGACAGAGAGTGTCCAGTATGATCGCTGCAGGAGGGACTTTTCGCACCACCACGTAGCACTTACTCCGAAGCACGAAACGGGCTGCATCGCAACAAAAGAGCGTCACTCAATAGTATCTTGTTGGGAGGAGTGACTTAGTCCCAAACCCAGTAACCGAATTGGCCACTGCTGCAAAGCCTGACATGGATCACCGGAAACATCATCCTACATGTCCTAGAAGAGCGCGCCGTCGTTGAATGAACCCGTAGTTCGAGATCCAGGCCACCGGCATCAGAGATATGAGATGATGGCTAGACGACTCACCACTGCCATCTCCAGAAATCGTTCGTCATCCCTCAAACAACAGCAGCAACAACAACAAGTCCACCCCTCAACAGTCTCTTGTCCACCGAGATGCAGACCTTCAGCGTCACCCTTCTCGCCGCTCTGTCTACCGCCGACTGGAATCTCTAGTTCATTGATTCTGGATCAGCCCAGGTTGGAGGCAATGGCGAAGGCAACCCCGAGATCCCACCCTTCGAAGTCGCTGCTCGGATCGAGACCGCGTGTGAGAAAGGCGTGACTCAACCCCCGTGTACTATCAAGACAGCATATTGATTCGGGAACAGTGCGATGCGACTGGAACAGTAGGTCGTAACTCCTTCTTGATCGACAACCCGTGCAGCTGTGACGAGGCTTTGGATGTCAGTATCCCCTTGTTGGCATCTCTCGCCACAGCCCGGGGCTGATTCTTCGGGAAGCACTCGTGGAACGAGGCGTCGGGGGAGCTTCACGTCAACAGCGCAGGTGATCGCGTGGCCCATTGTAATCAAGTCGAATCTTCGGTGTCCAGGTGCAGCTTCGGCGCTCAGCGAGGTATCAACTGCGCTGTTTCGCGTGACTGGAACTGCTACAGTTGGTACTGCTGAAGGCTTTCTGTTAGGCCTGAGCATTTGTACCCTGGTGGACGACTGGATGTAGTAACAGTACAGATCCCACTGTTGTTGCCATACTGTATACTGTACACAAGTTCTGTAGACAATTTCTCGAATATGACACATGTCAAACACGTGCTGTGCTCGGATCATACATTTACCACAAGATCGATTATATTCGCAAAAGCTTTTTTGGGGCATCACGTTTGGCATATGTACACACATTTCCCCAGCATAATCAACAGCACACCGTCAAAAACAAAACAAATGCTCCGAGGCGGATTCGAACTGCCGTCAATGCAGTATTGTAGTAAGAACCACAATGCATCATCCTAACCAACTAGACGATCGAAGCTACGATGATGGGCGGCTCAAACTGGTGGGATCATGTTGCTCGATTTGTGGAGTGGAGCGACAAATTCCCGCCCTACAGTGGAGGCGACCGATGCCGCATCTGGCACCCAGTCGACCGACGATTGTTTGTCGAGACGGATACCAATAGGGGTGAGCAAGTCATGTCGACATGGCATCCATTAACCTGCTAACGAGATCGAGATCTGGATGCTGACAGATTGGAGATGGAGAATCCCGTCCATCCTCGAGAGTCTTGCTAAAAAGAAATCATGATTCAATCAAACATTACTACTGGAATTTACAATCAATGCTTTCAAAATGGAAGACCTCTAGCCGACTCACGCCTGTCTCATCCGTTCTTGACCCTCGCTTCCAGCTCCTGAGACAACGAATACACTACACATGCCACAAGCGGAAGAGAAACCTCGGCGCCAGCCACGACACGCCATACCTCGACCGCGGTGCCGGAGCCACGGGCCGCTCTGTCTCTGAGTCGAATATCTTCCAGCTGCGAAGCATCCACATGCTCAAGGCGCCGGCGACGAACATGAAGGCGACAAAGACCTGCGCCGAAGTGAAGTCCTTGCCGTCAGACCCAACCGACATTTCAATGGCGGCGACCTCGGCAAAAGTCGTGGGCAGCACCATGGACAGGCAGACGACGCCAAAGGTGCCGGCCATCTTCTTCATGCCGACAACCTCGACAAGCACGGGCGTGATGGTGCCCCAGAAAGTGCCACACGTGGCGCCGGCGAGAACGGCGAACGCGCCCAGTAGCGCGAAGCCCTGTGCGGGGATCCACAGCGCGAAACAGAAGACGGCGCACAGGGCCGTCATGAGCATGGCCATGTTGATCCTGCCGACGGTGTCGCTGAAGTAGCCGACGAGGGGGCGGCCGAGGCCGAGGCCGAGGTTGAGCAGTGCGTTGGCGATGGAGCCCTGGGTGGGCGTCATGCCCACTGACGCAGCGTAGCTGGGCAGCGAGTATAGGAGAACTATGTAGCCGAGCTCGGTGGCGATCCCCCAGACCATGACGAGGAGAACCTCGACGCGGCCAAAGTCGCGGGGGTTGAAGCGCAGCTCGTCGCGGCGTGCGACGCGGTGCGCCTTGCCACCCGTCTCGCGTAGGAAGAGGCTCGCAACGACGTTAGCAACGAGGGCGCAGACGGCGAGGATACGGTACGCCCAGCGCACGCCGAAGCGATCTATGGCCGTGTTGGTGACGAGACTGTAAATAAGGCCGCCGATGCCTGCACCAGAGGTCGAGAGGCCCACGGCGAGGCTGCGTTTGGTCGAGAACCAAGGGGGCAGGACCGACGAGGCAGTGATATAGAGGAAACCCATGCCCCAGCCAAAACACATGCCTTGAGCGAGAACGAGCTGCCATACTTTTGTGACGAAGGATGAGCTCAGGAGGGAGACGAAGATGATGAAGGAGCCGATGAGCATGGTGGCGCGCATGCCGAGGTGTTTATGGCACTGAGTCGCGACGGGCGAGCAGAGCAGGGCCTGAGAGATGGACAGGCCGCCGATGATGGCGTATTCGAAGTGGGAGGCTTTCAAGTCGGTCGACTCATTGGAGTAATGTGCCATGATGACAGCCCAGGACTGAGGACCTAGTTAGCTTCGAGTCGATATTCAATATGGGAGACTGGGGGTCCGGACGTACACTGTTGATGCCCCACGTATGCGAGTTGACGAGGAAGACGCAGAGTGTGCAAACCCAGGCGTAGCCGCCATTGGGAGGTGCAGGTTCGACAGAGGTGACATTGGTCAGATGCTCAACCGCCTCGTCGTCGGTCTGCATCTCGACTGCTTCGCCTCGCGGCATCTCAACCGTGATTCCGTTGTTTGTGGTCATTGTTGTTGTGATAGCTGGCTGTTCGACCTGAGGCAGGCGTCTTGAATATACTATACTCGTCCGCTCAATGAACATCAAGCCAAGTAATGGCACACACCTCGTGTTTTCTGATTCTTTATACATATATTGTCGATGCGGGGGCTCCGTAGTCGGCCGGGGTGTTTAGTCATGTTCTCCGAACCAAGGCAGATCCAAGCACAAGAAGAGGCTGATGGTGGGGGAGCTCGTCGCGCCTTTTGGCCTTGGCGGTTTGGATTGGATGACGCGGGGTTATGAGAGGGTCATCCTGCAGGCCGTATGCATCAGCTCGATGCAACCCTTTAACTTTACATCCTCTGATAATTGTTCATCCCCTCTTTTCTCTCCACGCCATCACCTGTAAGTTTTGTACACGCCGCCAGCTCCTGGTCCCCAACCGCGCAATGAATACAAGAGGACATCAGAAGCGCATGCTACCGAGGACTGGATATCCTCGGCGGCGAGCATTGGCGGCATGCTTGATATGTCGCGAGAGGAAACGGAAGTGGTACGCCCGCAAGACCTCCCAGTTCTTGCTCAGAGGCTGATGGTTTCCTTTCTGAAGCGATAATCTGAGGCCAACATGTTCGTCATGTCAACAAATTGGGGCTCCGTGCGAATACACCAAACAAGACTCATCATCATTTGACGCGGCATCACTGAGAATACTAGACCAGCTCTCTCTCATAGAGGGACTGGTAAGAGATATACATCCCGAATCCTCCCTGACCCGCGAGTCTCGGTCGTCTGGCTCAAATTGTGACGCGCAATTCATAACAACGCGCGGGTTCGGGGAAGCTTCAACACGAAGCGCAGTACACACGTCTTTGTCCTTGAATATCGACGCAACCCACAAATCAGTATCTGATCAGATCCTCCAGTGGCCAGTGTTTGAACAGCTTTTGTCTTCTCTACAGCGGTTTCCATACATCGACTTTCATGGCACAGAAGCTTACAGTTATCTTGACGACCTCCTGACCGAGTCAGAAGATTTGGATCCACATTCACCATCAGGACCGCCCTGGAAGTCTTCTGCGCCGATCAGCACCTCCACAGAGAAGGTTGACGTCGAGAAACTCGTTGAAAAGTTTCATCAACGAGTCAACATCAAGAACCCGATTCTGAGTCGGCGGCTGGCTAGCGAATACTGTCAAAAATTCCACGAGAATGGACTTCTCTTCAACCTTGACACCTGTCTGGTATTGCTCATGTGTGCTCTTGGTGCCATTTCCATGGATTATGGATCTGTCAACACAAGCCAAAGCCCCGGAAACAACCCAAGCTCAGCGCCAGATCTAGCGAATCTAAGACTTGGTCACAGTTATTTCACGGCCGCGGAGAAGAGGCTAGGGGCAGCCATATCAACAGTCAACACCCTCTCCATCCAGTGCTTGTGTCTTGCTGGGTGGGCTCCACGGGCCAACATATGAGAGGAGAGTGGCTGACAATTATCGCCGCAGGATATTCCACATGTACTCGATTCAGCCAATGCATGCGTTGCGTATGTTTCACGCCGCGGGAATCTCTCTTCAGAACCTTTCTTCCACGGGGTAGGTGCGTGGTCCGCCCTTCAGGGTTCTTGTGTTAGTGCTGATCTTGGCCCTTTTTCACAGTGCTCGACCAGCCGGAGCAGCGTCTCAGATGTATTCGAGCCTGTTTTGGCTGTGCTATAAATCCGAGAGGTCAGTCCAAAACGAAATTTTATTGCACTAGAGCCTGACCTCTACAGAGAGATCCTAGCCGAGATACCGATCAACGCGCCCGCCCTGCGAGAACCTGGAATGCCAAATGTATACCCTCAGCCCCCACAAGCCGCCAGCATTGCTTCAAACGAATGGGCTGCCGACGAGGAAGACAGCTGGTACTTTCTGCTCTCTGAAATTGCCCTTCGCCGTATCACAGACCAAGTCACCGAGATTGTCTCCAAGTACATTCATGCCGAGATCATCTTGCCAGGATCGCAAAGGATCCAACAGCTCATTCCCATCGTAGCCGAGTTTGAGCAACAAGCCGAAACTTTCCGAGAGAATCTCCCATCAGCTGTCAAGTTTCCCGACGTCCCTGAAGCGGCCAGCACTGAATGGCAACAGTACAGCCGCGGTCGCTATTACCGTCTACTTGAACTCATGCACCGACCATTCCTCTTCAGCGCCCTCCACGATCCTGGATGCAGCCCCGTCGTTCGGTCACTAGCGGAGATAGGACTTCAGAATGCACTGCGGTACATTCAGCACAGTCACATATGCCATCGACACCACGGAACGTGGCTCCAGCTTCGGAATGAATTGAAAGAGGCAAGCCTCCTGCTTGCAGCATCGAAGACAACTTGGCTGACTATGCCTCGCGGATGGGAGGCTGGGATCGTCAAAGCTCAAGCGACGTTCGACCACTGGTCTTGGGAGTTTCCGTCTTGCAGAACGTATGCCAATGTCCTCCAGAAGCTAGCCGAATCATCCATGACAGGTCACGGCGTAGATAGTCCGATGCCATACGGCTGAACGTGGAGAATACAATCGCATTGGCCAATCCATGCAAAATCAATATGAGAAGAGAAGAGGCAATTCAGCAGCCAAAAATGAACAAGCTCATGCAATCTGAGTCCTATCACGAGCTGCCCATCTAGAGGAGCATGATTCAGGACACGCTGCCACAACCATATGATGATGCCTGCCCACGGAAATTGTGGACCATGGGAGTTGAGAATAGGTAGCTTGTGAAGGAAACAGTGCATCAAAGGGATGCATGCTCTTGAACAAGATGGTGTGGGCTTTAGCCGCCACTCCCCAATGCCGCCCTTCCCCACCGTCATTTTTGTTTCCCGATTGATGCCGCCACTCCCCGCGACGCTATACCGCCCAAAACTGACTATGAATGCAGTGTTCCCAATTCGGTTACTTCCTCCCAGGAGGGGCGACTACACAAATAGATTCTACTCTGGGTTGGTGTATCGATGAGTGAATGGGTTGAGAACCGAACATTCGATCTTCATGGAGTTGGTGTGGTTCCACTGGATCCTCGGCAGATGACACTGATGTAGCTTGGATTATTCTGGACCAAGGTTTTTGTTATAAAATGATGGTCACTTCTTCGGTTGGTAACTGAATAACCTTGAAGATTTCACTCGTTTGTGCTTGTCTAGCAGTACCCCTCTACCTAGGTCCCCTTTCCATCTCGCTGCATCAGGTTGTCCAGAAAGAGTCAGAGACTATGTCGGCAGACAACGCGAAGGCCCATACCTCGCTAACCGAAAGTCGCCTTGGAACGAAAGCTTCTCGCTTACTGATCACGCACGTCAATAAGCTTGAACTGGACGATGAACTGATCAGTATCAAGGAGTATGTACTGACGGATCTCGCTCATGCCGTGATGCTCACGCGTGCTGGCATCTTTGATGCTCAACATGGTGCTAGCATCGTCCAGGCCCTCGTCAAACTTCACGACAGTGATACTTATGCTGTACTTGCGCCTGACCCTGAGGTCGGCACTCTCGGTTTGCAAATCGAAAAGTACCTTGAGAAAGTGCTTGGCCCTCGCGGCCGCGATATTCAGCGCGGTCGCAGCCGCATCGACCAAAAGGCGACGAATTGGCGCCTCATAAACAGAGCGAGCCTGACAGATGTCATCCGAGAACTCGTCGATCTTGCGACTGAAATCCTAGCAACGGCGGATCGACACAGTGGCGTGCTCATGCCCGGGTATACCCACATGCAGCACTCTCAACCAACAACAATCGACCATTACCTCAACGCCTACTACTGGGCGGTGTCACGAAGCTTGGACCGTCTCTACGATGCTTACGATCGCTTGAATGTTTGCCCCTTAGGCGGCGCAGCCTACAGTGGCACTTCTTGGCCTATCAACCGTGATAGCACCTCGACCTACCTTGGTTTCGACCGTCCCATCCTGAACGCCAGAGATGCCGGCTTCGCGGCCATCGACATGGGTGCCGAGCTCGCAGGTGCCCTCGCCGCTACACTGTCGACCATCAGCCGTCTCGCTTCGGACCTCAACTACTGGTCCTCCAGCGAAGTCAACCTCGTGCGCATCGACGCCGCACTCTGTGGCACGTCGAGCATGATGCCCCAAAAGCGTAACCCGATGGTGCTAGAACGTATACGCGGCCTCGCTGGCGTCGCAGTGGGCTGGGCCGCCAGCCACCTGGGCGTCATGCATACGGCGACTTCCACCGATGTCGATCAGTCGTACGTCCACAATTTGCTCCCGGGACAGTGCGTCGAGACGGTTGGTGCCATCGCCCTACTGCGCGAGGTCCTGGCGACGGCCGAATTTGACGTGCCTGCCATGCGTATCTCGGCGGGCCAGCACTGGTCGACGGCGAGCGCACTGGCGGACCGCCTCGTTTCCTTGCGTGGTCTGAGTTTCCGTGACGCGCACGAGAGTGTTGCTCGTCTGGTCGAGGCGCATGAACGTGCTGGTTGCCGAGATGGTGAGCTGCGTGGCAAGCTCATCGACGATGCCTTCAGGCACGTCTTGTCGGAGTCCGATGTCAGAAGCATACTTGATCCGGTGTCTTTTGTTGAGTCGAGGATCAGCAGTGGGGGCACTTCTCCCAAGGCACGGCGTGAGCTCGCGGTGGCTGCATCGGCTGATCTTGCTGAGAAGAAGAGTAGTCTCCTAGCCCGCGTTGATCATGTTGATAGGGGACTTGACATTTTGCTCAAAGACGCACAGTCACTTGCTATCTATTCAAAGTAGGGCACGTTGCTTTGTCTGGTCATGAAATGGAAACATATCCACGTTCCACGAGACAGGCTGGTGCTTATCGTGATTTAGCACTTCAAACCTACATGACTGAAATGTTTCGGTAGGTGATGCTGCTGTCAGATTCACGGGTTCAATGCTACGAATTTGAGTCGAAATTCGATTGCACATCGCCAGGAAAGAAGAAGTCCACTGCAAATGCCCCAGCAAGGCGTACTCTCCAGGTGGAGATTATGAATCCATAGCCAGACGGTATGAGAACGGCTTCGTCTTGATAAAAGGATGTTATGACTCCACCTTGGGTATATTTTTACGCAAAGCTCACCACCGAAGCTTTGAAGCCCACCTAAAATGAGGTGTGTCAGCGTCCGAGACCATATGCGGTTGAGCATCCCGTCACGCATCGGGACCTCGATTTGCCACCTTTGACATGTGGTCCTGTCTTGATGTGCTGCTCACAATTAGGCCTGTGCATCTGAATCCTCGATGCTCATCACCCGATGACTTGCCCATAACCCCGCCTCAGAATAACGAGGCTGAGCCCATCAGGGGAAGGGGTGGGGTTGACGATGACATGCATGATGCTGACGACAAGACAGGGAGAAAAGAGGAGAGAAACAGAATGGCGGACAGAAACGTCAAAGGCCATGGCTGGCATGATGGAATGAAACCACCACACCTCCTTCACCAAGACATGAGCAAATCTTTCGTCATCGATGATATCGCAGACGCCACCATATGAGCTCGCGAACATCATAGTTCGAGACTAAGCAACTGAAATGAGGTGTCATACCTGTCCTGCTTGAACGAGCCTCAGCGTCCAGTTCAGCCATCGGTAGTTAGGTGCGCCAGCTGTCTGGTTCTCGGGATTGACTTCTCGGGAGCGACCAGTCTGTTGGTACCGGCTTTATCGAAATCGCACGGAAGAAACGTCCACCAGAGGAAACAGACGTCTTGCCACATACGACTAGCCTTACGATATTGCAGATCCACGGCATCACGATCCCTTGCCAAGCACGAAAGAACAAACGCGACGCGCAACCCAACGCGGCTGATCTACAATGTATCGCTACCCATCAATACAGCGGGAAGGCTGGATCTAAGCCCTGGGCGATCTCTTGACGATCCTCTCACCGGGACATCTGACGTGAAGAGCTCGGGCCAGCCTTGGGACCGATGCTCATCGGGGAAGCGGGCGAGCACGCGAAGATAACGAGGCCATTTTCACTTGGCTTTTCGCACCCCTCTCGACAGCCCTCGGACAACCGTATGCATGCACGCACAGGCTATCCTAATCACACAATGGCATCCAAGTCTCGCGAAATGATCGCCTACGCCTGCCTCCCGTCAAGATGCGAATGATGATCTCCGGTGTCCTGAATCATGAAGACCACAAGGCGTTGGTCCTGTATGTGATATCTTCAGCCAAGACGACCCACCATGCCGCCGAAGTTGCATTCCACACCGTTTTGTAAGCGCCCGCCTTAATTTTCTCTCCTTTATGCGAAAGCCATACCTGTCATCTCTAATGCCTGAGAAAAACGCCTCCTTGTCATATGTCGCAGTTTGACTTACAGCGCACTTGTCTTCCGGGTTGATGGTTTAACTGCCGACAGCTCTTTTCAACGTTTACGATTCACTTGCGGACTGGGGAAGTCAGCGGATAGAGTATCAATTTCAACGATGTAGTCTGAAGGTTACTGTTTGACAGCTCAACCAAGGTTGATTTGAGCTCAGCTTCCCGTATTTGAAGGAACTATGGATGGGTAGCGCAGTGAAGTGAATATATACAATGGTTCGAAGATGAAGTCCATCGTGCATTGCGGCCCTTGATGTGAAGCCAAAAACTAGGCTCCGTCACCTGCATTCTGGTACTCTCGGTAATGTGACAGGGCAGGCGCGCACGATGACTTGACACAAGGTCGAACTGCAGCCTTGCTAGACAGCAACCACGCCATCCAGCACGCAACCTGACTCCTGCCACGACTATCACGCCGGATCAATCGCGAATTGACATTGATTCGCAAATAAATTTCTGCAGCGTATTGGAATGTCTTGACTTACCCGTTGGCGAACCGCAGCGGCCTGTGCTCAAGCTTATCGAGGCGCTACAGAGGAAGTCCCGAGACACGGCAGAGTGCCATCAATTAGCTGGGCACCCAGCGTTCCAGTCCGGTGGCCTGGTAAATCAGAGCCGCAACACCAAGCTTCTCCCGGCATGAAGAAGTCTTGCTATCGGTGGGGCCGCACGGGAAAGCCCCCACGGCGGTTATACGCGTCGCCCTCGCGAGGGCCATGGACGTGGCAGAGTAGGGATCTTTTTTTGGCCCTGTCCACCGCCAGGCATCTGAGTGATGACGATCATCTCAGATAGCGATGAAAGGCGAAGTGATCGCCAAGCTGGTATGAAGGCCATTGCATCGAGATCTCCTAACCATCGATGTCCGGGAAGAAATGCCGTCCCAGAGACTTATCCACGTCTGATGTGGGTAGGCATCTAACCTATATATCAGTCTCGTCCATGAGAGTTCCGAACCATGTTAGCCTACTCTCGGCCATCCCGATATCTCACCAGTCGAACCTACAAAGACCGAGACTCTTTCACGACAGAGTCTAGATCGACTATCCGAGACCCGAAGTATCAAAGTCCAGACCATCCGCCAGGCCGGACCCTTCTCGACCATTCTTCACAACCTTGAGACAGAGACAACGACATCCAACAC